GCCCTTTCCAATTTTGAACCATGCAGTGTTCCCTTGCTCTGTTCTGACGACTGCCTCCTGGTCCAAGTATAGGTTTCGCATTAGAATGATTTACAATAGTCAGCCAAAACTTGAAATACTTGGGAGAGAATCTAACTTGAGACACAACCGACCTGTACAAAAAAACCTACAGAACATTTCTGCAGGATGCAATAAAAGATTTAAGTAAATGAAAAAAATATTCCCTGTTCACAGACAGGAAAACATATTATAGTGAAAATGGCAATCCTATCAAAAGCAATATATGTCCAACACAATAGATATCACATTCATTTTTAAAGGAGATCAAAAGGGAAATTGTCAAATTTATTTAGAGAAGAAAGAGACCCCAAATAAGCAAAGCACTTCTGAAAAACAAAAATGAAGTGTTAAGCATAGCATAGCACTCCCTGACCTCAAAACCTACTACACAGCAGTAGTAACAAAAACAGCATGGTACTGGTACAATGACAGACACATAGACCAATGGAACAAAAATGAGAAATTAGAAATGGACTCAGCTATCTATGGTTAAGTTATTTGACAAGAAAACAAAATCTATCAAATGAGGAAGTGAAAACCTCTCAAACAAATGGTGCTGGCAAAACTGTAAAAAGATGAAATAGGATCCACATTTCTCACCATACACAAAAATCCACTCAAGGTGATCAGAGTCCTGGGAGTAATGCCCCAAACCATAAAATTCATCAGAGACAAACTGGGATCAAGCTTTAACAGTCTAGTCTATGGTATAAAGAGACTGTCAAATATAGCCAGAAATACACAAACTGAAGAGGATAAAACTGATGAATGGGACCTTTTAAAGATTAAATCCCTGTGCACATCAAAAGCTTTTTCCAACAGAGTGAAAAGAAAACTTACTGAACTTGGAACAAACATTTGGCACTGCAATCTCAGAGAGGGGCTCATAGCAAAATTTCACAGACTCCTGAGCCTCCAGAAGAAAAAGACTGATAATACAATTACAAAATGGGCAAGAATTTTCACAGTGGAGGACATTTAAATGGCCAACAGACACATGAAAAAACTCTCAAAATCATTAGCAATAAGAAAGATGCAAATCAAAACCACAATGAGATACCATCTTACCTGTGTAGCAGTGGCAACATTTAGGAGGGCATCAAGTAATAGATGTTGGAGAGGATGTGGTGAGATGGGAACTCTTATACATTGTTGGTGGGATTGTAAAATGGTACAAGCACTCTGGAAGGCAGTTTGACTTTTCCTCAATAAACTGAACATAGACATTGCTTATGACCCAATTATTCCATTGCTTGAAATTTACCCTGATAATATGAGAACTAAGGCACAAACGCAGACCTGTACACCAGTGTTCATAGCAGCATTATTTATAACCACAGGAACATGGAAAGAGCCCAAATGTCCAACTACAATTGGATGGATTGAGCAATTATGGTACATTCACAGGATGGAATACTACACGACACAAAGGAACAATGATTTTGAAAATCACTATCTAATTTTGGAGGGACTGAAGGGCATTATGCTAAATGAACTCAGTACTATAAGGACAAATACTGTATAAAACCATTAATGTAGGAATAGCTAACTAGTAAAATGTGTATGATGATCTAAGGGGGAGGGAGGGTGGGAGCAGAGAGGTGAGTGTGGGTAAACGTAGGGTGGCACAAATTCATGGGTGGAAGGAGGGCTGAGTTAAAGAAATGGGAACAATCCGGTGTGAAATACAGTGTATGCGAACTTT